TGTCCATAAAAAGCTGTTGGATGTGATGATATCTCTCGTGATATGGTTATCACTATATTGGATCACATCCTTCCTGCAATTACCCACATAATAAATTTCTCCCTTTTCTCAGGAACATTCCCATCCCTTTGGCGCAAAGCCTTTGTTCGTCTCCCAAAAATCTCTAATCCTTCTCTTCCCACTCATTTCCGGCCCATATCCATACTTCCTTTTCTTTCCAAAGTGCTTGAAGCCTGTGTACATAAGCAACTGTCTAACTTCATTTACCGTAACTCTCTGATAAGTCCTTTGCAATCCGGCTTTAGACCAGGCCATAGCACTGTCTCCGCTCTCCTTAAGGTGACTGGCGATATTCGTATGGGCCTTGAGAACACCAAAGCCACAGTTCTGGTTTTGGTGGATTTCTCGAACGCCTTCAATATGGTCAGTCACGACATTCTTTTGGCCATCCTATCCTATCTTTCGATCTCTGACAAATCACTGAACTGGTTTTCATCTTATCTTCAGGAGCGTCAGCAGTTGGTCAAGCTTGATGATGTTTCATCAAATTGGCATGATTTGAAGGCTGGCGTTCCTCAAGGCGGAATACTATCTCCTCTTTTATTTTCTATCTTCATTAATATGATTACTTCCGAACTTCAGTGTGCGTACCATCTATACGCTGATGATCTGCAACTTTATTGTCAGGCTAGTGTTGACGGGCTATCTGATGCGATCTTGAAGATGAACGGTGATCTGGCAGCCATTGGAAACTGGTCCGCGAGGTTCGGTATAGCAGTGAACCCTGCCAAATGTCAGGCCATTATTATAGGAAGTTCTCGTACGCTGAGTGGGATTGACAGAGCATCCGGGTGGGATTGACCGGCTGTGATGTTTGACGGTGCAGTTATCCCATTCAGTAATGATGTTAAAAATCTTGGCCTGATTATTGATAACAGTTTAAAGTGGCGTGCTCAGGTCACCAGTGTTTCTAGCAAGGTTACTGGATCCTTGCGGGCCTTGTATCGCGCGAAAAATTTGCTTCCACCTGCCACGAAGGCTATGTTGGTGCAGGCCTTGGTTTTCCCTATTATTGATTATGCTGATGTTTGCTACTACGACCTGAATGCAGATCTTCTCAATAAGCTTGACCGACTTCTTAATAACTGCATTCGATTCGTTTTCAACCTGCGTAAATACCAGAAAGGGCAAAGGGCGCTTACCACTCTATTTTCTTTTCTTCATTCACCTTCTTCGCCGAGTTATCTATCCCCTTACTTTCAGTACATATGCGCAAACCACAATAAAAATTTACGTTCTTCTCATAACCGACTTCTTCAATGTCCTACTCATCGCACTGATTTCTTTCATTCTTCCTTCTTCGTTCAAGCTATCTTCCTGTGGAATGCGATCCCCCTGGATGTCAGGATGGTGTTAGGTCGTTTGACTTTCAAGCAGAAAGTTCGTGAGCATTTATTGAAGAAATTGGCTGAATCATCACAATAAGTAAATATAAGTATATTTATAATATGTTAGATGATGCGGAGTAAAAACACACAATTTGATTGATCTAAAAATAGAAAAGTTTATTATTATTATAAAATTACAATACTCAACTTTAATGAAATCAAATATTTAAACATGCGTATTCTGAACTAACCTAAAAATAGAAAAATCGACAATTAAAGGTTTTTAACTTCCAATCTTTTAGTAGGTCGACATTGTATTATTTTACTAGCAGCTATGAAGTTTCCTTATAACTTTCGTACAATTATTAAAGAATGTTAAACAATGAACAAAAAATAAATCACGAGGCGGTTTTAAAATTATAAATTCTCTAACTCGAGTGTGCTGTCATTAATGTCACTTGTCATTCTTCGTACAACGACAAACCTGTAAGGAGGCGCCCACACGCTCGCACATTAAGGCCACGCACACATTACATAGTGTACAAAGCTTACATCTCCCCCCCTTAAAGTGCAAATTAACCTTAGGTTAATTTGAGTAGGTACTTAAACAAACTGAGGAATGAGCTTTGTCACATGGTACAATCCCAAAGATCTTTTATTCTTTCCAGTGTTGATTCTACATAGTGAATCTGATATCATTTCTTCGATTTCAAAAGGGCCAATTCTAATTTCATCCATTTTAGATCTGTTTAACTTATTACAGTCCATTATGTAAACCATATCACCTTTTTGAAACTTGTAATCTATTCTATTCTTGTCAAAAATGGCCTTGTTCAGTTCATGTGACTTTTTTGATCTGAGATACGCTGTATGTCTGTCTTTTTCTAGCTCTCCAGGTTCCGTTTGTTTTCTTTTTAGATCCACTGGCACTACATCGGTTGGTTCTCCACTTAACAGATATTGAGGCGAATAACCTGTCACTGTGTGGTTTGTTGAGTTGTAGGCTTTTACACACTCCTTTGCCACCGTTGTCCAAGCTGTTTTTTTTTCTTTGCTATTCAAGGCACATCTGATTCTATTTACCAGCGTCTGGTTCAACCTCTCATTATGACCATTTGAAAAAGGAGCATCCACTGCTGTAAAAATCAAATTAACAGAGTGGTCTTTTAAATATTTTTTAAACTCTTTTGAGTTCAGTGCTGGATATTGATCAGAGAGCAATATCTCAACTTTATTGTCCTTGATCACTTGATCTACCAGTTTTATAAAGTCCTTAGTCAGTTGTGTCTTTGAGCACAAAATGTAAGCATAACGTGTGAAATGATCCATCAACAAGTGTAAATACTTATTTGAAGACCTGTTACCACCAAATCCTCCTATCGTGTCTATGGACATGATTTGGAAAGGTTTTTCTGCTGGTCCTAATTGCGACATGAATCCATAATTTCTATTTAATCGTGACTTGTTTTTTATACAAACTTCACATTGACGGCAAATCAATTTTATATTCTCTAGTAGGTTTGGTGCTGTGTAGAAAGGTCTTATTTTTGACTCAATCTGATTTATTCCTATGTGACAGAAATGCTCATGTACTTTTTTTATTAATGTCTTACTGAAGTCTTCGGATAAAACGATTTTTTTCTTCTTGTTGTTCCATTTAAAATATACACCATTTTCTTTAATAAAACTATGTTTATTCTTCATGTTTAGATTTTTGTTCTGGTCCTCCAGTATTTCCTCAATCATTACAATATTTACTGTTTTCAAGTTATCTTCTTCATTTTCGTAGCTTTCATATACAGGATTTCTGCTTAAGCAGTCCGCTTCTGTATTGTTTCTACCTGGGTTGTATTTTATGACAAAGTTGTATTGTGATAGATAATGGGTCATGTCTCCCAGTTCATCATCTGTCCTGTTTTTTATATTTAAATTTTCTAGTGGCTTATGGTCTGTATAAATTGTGAATGAGTTTCCTATTAGCCAGTGTTGCCAAAACTTTAAACTTTCTTTTATGGCTAAGCACTCTAAAAATATGGCCTTCTTCTTCTTTTGTGATTCATTCAACTTCTTTGAGAAGTAAGCCACTGGTTTGATTTCTCCACTCCTCTGTGTTTGTTTCAGTATTGCGCCAATTCCTTTTGTACTTGCATCAGTGTATATAAAAGTTGGCGCCTCTCGGTCGAAAATAGCCAGTATTGGGGCAGAGCATAAATTATTTTTTATTGTTTGGAAAGCTTTTTCACAGTCAGCTGACCAATCGAAATTGATGTTTTTTCTAAGTAAATTGTGTATTGGGTCAAGAGTTATGGCAGCATTAGGGATATATTTATTATAAAAATTTACTTTACCCAGAAATTGTCTTATTTGTTTCTTATTTTGTGGTGCTGCAAATTCTGCTATAGATTTGAGGTTATCTTTCAAAGGTGTGATTGTATTACCTGTTATTATATGTCCCAAGAATTTTACAGACTGCGCTGCAAATTTACATTTTGTTAATTTCAAGCGGAATCCTTCTTTAGCAATTGCATCCAATAATTTTGATAGATGGTCCATATGTTCATCAAACGTTTTCGAAAACACCATAATATCATCAATGTAGTTCATTACAAAATTAGAAAGGTTATGTTTTCTTATTATATTAGTCAGAATTCTTTGGAAAATTGCCGGAGAAGTTTTTAGTCCAAAAGGAAGACATGTCCATTGATAATGGCCTTCTTGTGTAACAAAGCCTGTCTTTTCTCTGTCACTGATCCTCAACGGTATAGACCAAAAAGCAGAATTAATGTCAAGAGTAGTAAAGTACTTACAGTTTATCGTTTTTACCATTAGATCCTCTATCAAAGGAAATGGATGTGGCTGTGGGGTAATAATCTTATTAAGATCTCTAAAGTCGATACATAATCTTGATTTTTTTCCTTCATCCCGTTTGAAAGCCAATGTTACAGGTGCTGCGAATGGGCTATAAGATTCCTCAATCAATTCATTTTTTAGCAGTTGTCCAATTTGCTTCTCAATTTCTTCCTTATCATCCAAGGAGCATCTATATGGTCTTTTTGAACAATATTTCTCTACTTGTAGGTCTATAAAAGCTTCATAGTTTTTCACTTGGCCTACATCGTATTTATCTTTAGCGAATATGTGTTTATAATCATTTAATAATGCATTCATTTTCATTCTTTGGTCATGTTCCAAGTAAGCAGTATCAATATCAAATTTATTCACATCTATGCCCTCATTGAAATTTATTTCATAATTAAATATTTCTGAGTTAAACTCTCGGTTTTCACTCTCTTGATTATTATGTTTATTGTCTTCAATTGGGCTGATGTATTTATCTGCACTTGGACTGGCATTTTGAAGTTGAATGTTTAAATTCCCATCATGGGTCAATCCAAACCGCTTTATTGTATCCAGTCCCAAAAGCAAATCATGAGTGAAGTTTTTATCATTGCAAATAAATGCATTTAGTTCCTTTTCAATATTCAGTATTTTCCCATTTAATTTTATTAATCCTGTTGTTTTTCCCCCACCACCAATTGTGTTGAATTTATTTTCAAAGTAATTTTTCTTTGAATTTGTTACTTTTATTAATTTAGAATTTATTAAGGTTATATTTGAGCCAGGGTCATAAATACCTGTGCATTTCAGTGTGTCATTCAGTATAACCTCAACTTCTATTAGTGGGGGAATATTTAGTTTTTTGTATCCTCAAATTCATCAATTTCCAACATCACATTCTTGCAATGTTTTACAGTGCCGTTACTGTTCTTGTCTTCTTTGAACCAGCATAAATCTTCAAAGTGAAATCTGTTTTTCTTTCCCATCTTGTAACATATTTGACATGGTGTTTTTTTTTTATATTCCCCTTCTGATTTAGTAGAGCTTTTCTTCTCAGTAAAATGTTTTTGTACAGTTTTATTCTGATTTTCATGCATCCGTAGAGCACTAAACAGTAGAGTTGGGTCTGTCACTTCTTGTCTATCTAGTTTACTTGTAATATGAGTTGGCAATCCTATGACAATTAAGTCAGTGAGAGTTCTGGTGTCTATATCACTATTATATTCTAGTAAGAGTCTCTGCTTTTTTAATGCATATTCCAGCAGGGAGCCATTTAAATATTTGTAACTCAGTGCATATGTCACAGAGGACCAACTTTTATCTGCAAACGTGTTTAGAAAACTCACTTGCCATGTTTTCCACAGCGAGTTTAAACTGTGTTTAATTAACATAGACTCATACCAGTCACTTTCTGAGTCATTCAAAAATAGTCTCAAAGCACTAATTTTCTCTGTATCACCATTTATATCAAATCTAGTAAATTCACTTTCAAAACTCTGCAACCATTGTTTGGCATTAGTGGTCTTGTTATCAAACTTCTTCAAAACAAATTTTTCATGTAATTTGCTTAAATTGTTATGTTTTTCTTTGTTGACATTGGATTTATCACTTAACTTCTCCAAATTTTCTAATAATTTTCCATCTGTAATAGATTGGCTTGTGACTTGAGTCAATTCTTGTAATAAGTAATCATTAAACACCATATTTCCAGCATCATCCATGTACAGTGCTAATATTTCACTTGGCACGGACATCCACACCTTTCTATTATGACTTCTTCTCTGTAATGTCTTCTTTATTTTCAAAAATTCTGGTAGCTTTGTCAATTGAAGATGGTGTTTTGCTGCTTGGAAACTTGGCGGTATGAGATATGTTATTCCATTCTCATTTGTTATTGATTTTATAATTATGATGTTATTCTTCGGATCTTCGTCTGCTGCCAGCTCAACTTCAAATTGTAATCTTGCCATGATCTACTATTATTCAATCAAACTCTGACAATTGTCGATTTATAATATGTTAGATGATGCGGAGTAAAAACACACAATTTGATTGATCTAATAATAGAAAAGTTTATTATTATTATAAAATTACAATACTCAACTTTAATGAAATCAAATATTTAAACATGCGTATTCTGAACTAACCTAAAAATAGAAAAATCGACAATTAAAGGTTTTTAACTTCCAATCTTTTAGTAGGTCGACATTGTATTATTTTACTAGCAGCTATGAAGTTTCCTTATAACTTTCGTACAATTATTAAAGAATGTTAAACAATGAACAAAAAATAAATCACGAGCCGGTTTTAAAATTATAAATTCTCTAACTCGAGTGTGCTGTCATTAATGTCACTTGTCATTCTTCGTACAACGACAAACCTGTAAGGAGGCGCCCACACGCTCGCACATTAAGGCCACGCACACATTACATAGTGTACAAAGCTTACATATTTATTTAAATAATAATAATATATATATATAAGTATGTAGTATCTATTTATTTATATTAGTGTTTCTATATTTATTTATACATAATTTGTATGTATTATTAGTTTATGTAAGATTATATTGCTATTGAATTTGTTTAAATTCATACATTATTATATTGAGTCTTTGTTTTAGTCTATAAAAATTTTGCTGCTTGCGCTCACCGTTTTTACTCATCTCTGCATCACCCAAAGGTCAGACTGGTAGATAATGCCTACGGCATTAAGTCCGCCTATGTACAGAAATTTGTGTGCATAAAGCTTAATAAATAAATAAATAAATAAATATTGCTTATATCATGATTTTGGGGCAATTGATCTGTGACTATTGATGGAGCAAACTCTGTTTCATCAAATAAGTCATCGTCGTAGGGGTATATCCCTCTAAAGCCAGATTCAGCATTGCCTAAAGTAGCCACTTTCTTGTAAGCTTCATTAAATAAGCGCGCCACTTGTTGTTGACCAATGCCTCTCCCGGAATTTTCAATAGCGTATTTACCCTTAAGAGGGCTGAAAAAGCTCCTATCAAGAGGTTGTAATTTATGACTTCCGTGTGGTGGCAGCGTAAGCATCACAATATTGTTTTCACGAGCAAATTTCACGGCATTTAAGCTAACGTGAGAAGTGTGGTTATCTAAGAGCAGCATACGGGATCTTCTGTTAAAGGATGGTTAAAATTTTTAAAGTGATGTAACCAGTTAATAAATGGCTCGAAGTCAGTAATGAAACACATTCTACTGAAATAAAGTTCAGCACTCCAAAAAAGGGAGACCAAAAAAGCAATTTCGTTTGCATATGGACGATTTTGATTATGATGTTGTTCGAAGAATGGTCTATGATTTTCACTTACGATTTAATGAACTGCCAACAATAAAATCATTAAAAGCTAAATATCTGAAGCTATTAATTACAATGGGTCTGAAAAGACGTTGAGAAAAATACTTCACGATTCGCTCTCGCCGGTGGCGCGCGCAGCTCCGTCGGCCGGCGCGTGCCGTGGTCTTTTCTGATTGGTCCGCGGCGCGGGCGGCGGAAATGTGAAGGCGGCGAGGCGCGGGACGCGCAACGCGCTGTGTGTCATAGACATTCTGCCGGGCCGCATGTGAGAGGGCATATGCGGTTGAATGCCCGTCTGATTGTGCCTGTGCTTGTTCTGATGTCTGCCACCCTGGGGATCCCGTCAGGTCCCGGATGGAGCTGTGTCACTCGTCCAAGGACCCAGCGGGCAGGTGGAAGAGCGTCATCTTTCACGACAACCAAGGTGCCTTCTGTCAGCTGTCCAGATGACTGCTTCCACTTGGTCCTTATCTGAAGCTGGGAGATGTATTCCTTATAAAATCGCGGCCAAAAATGTTGACGCAGTAATTCAACGCGTTTCTATCTGGGCAGATGCAGGGGATTGCTATCACCCAGTTCTTGCTGAGGTATTACAGATAGTGAACGACCAATTAAGAAGTGGAACGGGGTAAGGACAGAGAGGTCAGACGAGTCTGAGGAGAGAGGCGTCAAAGGCCTTGAATTTAGAATGCCTTCAATTTGGCATAAGACTGTGTACATTTCTTCATATGTGAGATGAGCTAAGCCTAAGACTCTCTTAAGGTGATGTTTTGTTGATTTGACTGTGCTTTCCCATAGCCCACCAAAGTGTGGGGTATAGGGGGGAATAAAATGAAAAGTGATACCTTGTTCTGCAGCACTGTCACGAATTGAGTTCTGATTTTCTGCTAAAAAACCTGTGATAACATTTGACGCTCCTGCAAAGTTAGTGCCATTGTCTGAATAAATGTGAGTAGGTTTACCTCTGCGGCTGATAAATCTATTTAATGATGCTAAATGATGCTAAATGTACAGTCTTAACTGCAAGGCATACAAATATACATATGTATGATTTTATTAATTGACTACCACGCCATTTACGGTTACTGATCATGATTGGTCCGGCGTAATCTATACCGACATGACTAAATGCGAAATCTGAATGCATGCGTGGCTCTGGTAAGTTACCCATGATTGGTGTAATGGTTTTACCTTGAAAGCGTCTACAAGTAATACAGGATTTTTAAACTTTCGCGTTTCATCTTAAGAACATTATATTTACGCGGGTATTAACGCGGAAAATTATAATTTGAATACCTTGGTAGGCTTGACGTTTCGACCCGGTTGCACAGGTCGTGGTCACAAGCAGACTGAAGACGCGATGTCACAGCTCCCTGCATTCGGGTGATGAATCTTCATCTACCCCCTTATTTTCATTTTCTACCATATTAGGCCGTCTACACACTACGCTGATTATATCCACAGATGTGTTAACCGACTTTGAAGGAAAGCGAGGTTGTGTTTTGCGAAGCACTGGATTCCACGTCGACGACAATTTAAAGCCGTCCTCCCGATTGAAATTATTTGGGCATTTCTTTATTTCAACCGCTTCACACACAAGTCTTGTATGGTAGTGGCGATCAGTGGAGAGAATTTGCGGTCGGTGGAATTCTACCCAGTGATTAGAACCAGCCTGGAGCAGGTGTTCTGCTATCGCTGATTTGTTGCTCTGTCGGTTTTTGACTGCGGCGATATGTTCTTTGAGCCTCTCAGCAATGGTCCGCTTCGTTTGCCCAATGTAGGAACTACCGCAGCTGCAGTTGATCTTATAAACACCTGGGCTTTGTAGCGGCAGTACATCCTTCGCCGTGCCTACCTTATCATGAAGTTTAGCCTCAGGTGTGTAGATCGTCGGGATCGAAAACTTTTTAAGGACGGATCCTATCTTGTCTGTCACACCCTTGATATAAGGCATGAAGGCAGGTTGTCTGCTCACGTTTGGATGTCTGGCTCTCTTCAGCGGTCGCAATAGTCGCCCATCCCCTACACTATATCCGTTCTTTTTAAGTACCTCCTGAACATGGTCTAGCTCTTGCCCCAGATGTTCAGGGTCACAGAGGTCATATGCTCTGTTTTTTAGTGATATCATCACGGATTGTAAGTGTCGGGGGTGGTGATGTGACTTTGCATGTAGGTACCGATCAGTGTGAGTTGGCTTTCGGTATACACAGTGCGATAAGGACCCATCTGATCTCGCGGTTATTTTAATGTCCAAGAATGACAACGACCTGCCCGTCTCCAGCTCATAAGTAAAACGCATTTTTGGGTGGATGCTGTTTAGGTGATTTACATATTGACGTACTTCTTGTTCACCTCTGTTGAAATATTAAACATAAAATCTGTATCGTTAATTTATTGTAGTTTCCGAACATATAAAAAAGTTTCCTATTGTTGTCACATGTGGCGCTAGTGTTCTCTGTCTTCGTTCTCTGTAAAACTTTACCGGTTAATAAACGTATTGTTTAAACTTTCATCTCGTTATTATTCAACAGGTTATGGGCCCAGTCTCGTATACCTAATAGATTGAAAGTTAAAATTTTTATTAATATAAAGTATAGTTCAGCAGTTAATATTTCGTAATTTCATCGAAAATCGCCCAGAAAAAATGGCTATGTCTAACCTTCAAATTGAAAAGTTAGCCGGGCGGGAAAATTACTCGACATGGAGGTTTGCAGTGAAATCTTATCTTGAGCATGAAGATTTGTGGCAATGTGTCGATCCTGGCACCGATGTCGACTCCAAGAAAGATGTGAAGGCTAAGTCTAAAATTATTTTGTTGGTGGAACCTATTAACTACGTCCATATTGAAAATGCACAGACATCTCGAGAGGTATGGATGAACTTACAAAATGCTTTTGAGGACTCCGGGCTATCAAGAAAAGTCGGCCTATTGCGAGATTTAATTAACACAACATTGGATAATTGCACAAGCGTCGAAGAATATGTCAATAAAATTATGAGTACCGCACACAAATTACGAAATATCGGTTTTCAAGTCGATGACGAATGGCTGGGAACGCTTATGTTGGCAGGTTTACCCGACACCTACAAACCAATGATCATGGGTTTGGAAAGCTCCGGCATAAAAATTTCGTCCGATTTTATCAAGACAAAACTATTACAAGAAGTAAAAGTTTCCGAGTCTTCAGTATTATATACAAAACACAAGAATACCCCCAAACACAAAGTAAAGTCGCAAGGAAAAGGCCCACGTTGCTTTAATTGTAATAAATATGGCCATTTAAAACATCAGTGTACCATAAAGAAATCTAATCAAAACAGTTTTTCAGCAGTTTTTTCAGCTTACAGTAATGTGGACAAAGACGATTGGTACATCGACTCCGGTGCCACAATGCACATGTCCAGACGTTCTGACTGGATGTACGATATGGAAGCATCTCCGATTCAGCAAATTAAAGTAGCTAATAATGATGCAGTCTGTGTGGAAAATATGGGTAAAGTAAACATTCAAACCACATTTTGCAAAGACAAATGTCCAATCCAGGTGAGAAATGTTTTATATGTTCCTGAGTTGAGCGTAAACTTGCTATCAGTTAGTCAATTGGCTAAAAATGGTTGTAAAGTAGAATTTACTGATATGGGCTGCAATATATACAAT